ATAAATAGACTTCAGTAAGAGAATTGACTATTTTTATTTGATTCCCTTTTAGCCCAAAAGCCAAAGTTTAAAGGATTTGTAATTCATTTTTGCTTGCCTTATTTATTTAGCAAACTTTATTATTCTACTAGGTACCATACCATGTGCTTATTATAGAGGTTACAAAGAAAAAAGCTGCAATACCCTCCCAAGGAAATTATTGGGTACCACTGGTCACAGGCAAATATGTGATTTTAACAAGGGCTGCTGGGTGGAGGGCAACTAGAGCTGCCTGAGGGAGAAAGCTCTCAGAGGAAGTCTTTAAATTAAAATTCCATGACCATTACAACATCACCATGATCATTATCATTATCATAACCACAGCTAACAGTAATAACAATTGCTAACATTATCCAATGCTTATTTCATGCCAGATGCTGTGTGAGGCCCTTTATATGCATTACCTCTTGTAATTGTATAGAATTGTTGCTGTATATGGTATTATGTTTACTTGTATTTGCACTGCCTATTCAGGGGTGGTTCTAAATGCCATTGCCACACAACTGGTGAATTGTGATTATTGCCAGAACACTGATTCTCCTACTCTTGCTCGCTTAATAACACACTAGAGAACTGGGATTGGCATCATTTAGTCTCAGGCTGAACCATTGACATAAGTAGATTTCCATCCCCTATCCTACTGATACCACTTTGCCAAACACCCTTAGAGAACAGAACCCACTGCCTACATACAGCCTGCACAGGGATGGCCTGAATAGTCTTGCTGGGTTTATCACAACATCCCATTTTCACATCAGCAAAACCCTAAGTGTACAAAGAACTTGAAACATTGTCAGGTTCTCCATATGAAAACGCAGGCCCCTGCTTTCAAGGTGGTGGCTAGCAATAATAACAGTGACAAAAACAGTAACGATAAAGCACGTATAACATTTACTAATCGCAAATTGTTTTGTAAACTAAATGATTTGAATGCACTAACTGATTTAAACCTTATAGATAGATAGATGATAGATAGATAAGTAGATAGATCATAGATAGATAGATAGATACTTTACTGTGCCCATTTTTTTAAGCTTTTTATATATATATATACTTCAGGTTCTGGGATACACGTGCAGAACGTGCAGATTTGTTACATAGGTACACATGTGCCATGGTGGTTTGCTGCACCCATCAACCCATCATCTACATTAGATTTATGTAATTCTATCCCTCCCCTAGCACCTCACCCTCTAATAGGCCCCAGTGTGTGATGTTCCCCTCCCTGTGTACATGTGTTCTCACTGTTCAACTCCTACTTATGAGTGAGAACATACGATGTTTGGTTTTCTGTTCCTATGTTAGATTGCTGGGAATGATAGTTTCCAGCTTCATCTATGTCCCTGGAAAGGACATGAACATGAACTCATACTTCTTTATGGCTGCATAGTATCCCACAGTGTATATGTGCCACATTTTCTTTATCCAGTCTATCATTGATGGGCATTTGGGTTGGTTCCAAGTCTTTGCTATTATGAATAGTGCTGCAATAAACATATGTGTGTGTGTGTCTTTATAATAGTATGATTGATAATTCTTTGGGTATATACCCACTAATGGGATTGATGAGTCAACTGGTATTTCTGGCTCTAGATCCTTGAGGAGTCGCCACACTGTCTTCCACAATGGTGGAACTAATCTACACTCCCACCAACAGTGTAAAAGTATCCCTATTTCTCCACAACCTCACTAGCATCTGTTGTTTCCTGAGTTTTTAATGATCACCATTCTAACTGGCATGAGATGGTATCTCAATGTAGTTTTGTATTGTAGTTTGTATTTCTCTAATGACCAGTGATGAGCATTTTTCATATATTTGTTGGCTGCATAAATGTCTTCTTTTGAGAAGTGTCTGTCCATATCCTTTGCCCACTTTTTGATTAGATTGTTTAATTTCCTTGTAGACTGTTGATATTATCCCTTTGTCAGATGGATAGATTGCAAAGATTTTCTCCCATTCTGTAGGTTGCCTGTTCACTCTGATGAAAGGTTCTTTTGATGTGCAGAAGCTCTTTAGTTTAATTAGATCCCATTTGTCAATTCTGGCTTTTGTTGCCATTGCTTTTGGTGTTTCAGTCATGGAGTTCTTGCCTATGCCTATGTCCTGAATGCTATTGTCTAGGTTTACTTCTAGGGCTTTTATGGTTTTAGGTCTTATGTGTAAGACTTTAATCTGTCTTGGGTTAATTATTATATAAGGTGTAAGGAAGGGGTCCTGTTTCAGTTTTCTGCGTATGGCTAGCCAGTTTTCCAAACACTATTAAGTAGGGAATCCTTTCCCTATTGCTTGTTTTCGTCAGGTTAGTCAAAGATCAGATGGTAGTAGAAGTGTGGTGTTATTTCTGAGGCCTGTGTTCTGTTCCATTGGCCTATATATCTGTTGTTGTACCAGTACCATGCTGTTTTGGTTACTGTAGCCTTGTAGAATAGTTTGAAGTCAGCTGATGTGATGCCTCCTGCTTTGTTCTTTTTTCCCTGGATTCAAATGGAAATGCAGAGATCACCCGCTTTCTGTGTTGATCTCGCTGGGAGCTACAGAATGGAACTTTTCCTATTTGGCCATCTTGCCAGCTCCTTACTATCCCCTTTTTAAAGACAGATTAGCCAAGGCCCAGCTGTGTGCTTCTGTTGGGAAGTTGAGTACAAGGTTGGGTGTAAGTAGGGAAAGTTCAACTGCAGTCAGTTCTAGTCTTGGTAAGGCCACTATAAGGCACTCCACGTCAAAGCATAGCAAATTAGTAGTTCCCCAGTATTTTCAGAATCAAAATTAAGTTCTTTGTCAAAGTTCTCCCTGATGTGCTCCTGCTTCTTCCCTAATTCAACACATCCCCAGCTCCATCCATGCACTCCCAATAGATCACAGCTCTTTACATGCCCAGGCTGTGTCTTCTGCACCTTTGTACCTTCTGCACCTTTGTTTCCTTGACCCCAACTGCCCTTTCTTTTCCTCTACATTACCCTTTATCCTCAATTTAGCACCTATCTCAAGGAGTCACCTTCCCCAGGAAGTTTGTTAATAGATATTCCATTGTTCCTCCAGTGTTTGACCGCTTCTTCTTTATAAATCCCTGCCCAGAAAAATGTGGGCTCACTGACGCCAGGGGCTGCAGCTAGTTTATTTTATAACCCAGCATTTAAAAGCGCCTATTTGTTGATTTATTGGGAATAGTTAATAAATGAAATCTTTGCAGATCATAACCAAGACCACAGTTCATGATAGTTTCATTATTTTTTGTTACTATTGGATATGATTCTCTGCTTACTGCCTTCCCTTACTGCTCAGCGCCTCTAGATGTTAGGTGCATGGCTCTGACACTAATTGAAATTGATGACTGAGAATGACACTTCCATTTGTTAAGCCAGCATAGTTTTGTTCGTTGTGATTTACTTTTTAACCAGCACCCTCTCAGCACTAGCACGAATCTGTGGTCTTTCCATGAGGGTACCATTTGTTCCTTTTATGTCTTGATTCATTACATATTGTCAGGAGTGTTAGCTAAGACTTTCTGCTTTGTGAAAATGTCACCAAATGCACAATAAAGGCGAAGTTACCAGATGTCTGTTCACTAGAAAAATTAAATGCTGTTTTGTGAAGATTCAAGGCTGTTCAGGGATCCCCAAGTGTTTCCAGGCCTGAGCTTTGGCTCTGCATTCTCCTTAGGGTCTCATAACTGACCTCCACATTCCAGTTCTGCCATCGTGGAAAAATTTGTCAACTTTACTGCTGATGTTAGGCCTGGAAACTGTCATCCATTAGTTTTCTCAGATTCAAGTTGAAAATTGAGACAAACTTCCTATGTAATTTTGACCAAAATAACACGTATGTTTATGTGCTATCCCATGATTAACATATTTTTAAAACCACTTTATGGAGGCATGGTTGGCATACACAAAAATCTGTGAATATTTAATGTGTACAGCTTCATGAATTTGGAGATAAGTATACATCCATGAAATTATTACTGCATGTATGCCATAAGCCTATCACCTATGGAAGTTTACTTTCACTCTCTGTTATTATTTTGATTAACTTAATTTTCTTCTTCCTTTGAGCTATCAAAACTTTCTCAAGTAATACATAGTTGTCATTTATATAAACTTATTGAAACTTGATGAAAAGTTTTATTTTAATGTTCCACTTACAGAAAGAAGTAATGAAACCTTTAAAGTGTTCTCTGATTTGTAGCAAGGATCTATGATGGTGGTGGGAATTGTTCTAGATCACATTCCAGTTTAGTTTTGTATGTTTTGGGGAGGCAGGAGTTACAGGCAAAGACATAATCAGTACATGGAAAGTATACATTGGTTTGGACTGAAAAAGCAGTATGTCTTCAAGTGGGGACTTGCAGGTCATAGTTTGGTTAAGAGATTCTTTTTTTTTTTTTTTTTTTTTTTTTTTTTTTTGAGACGGAGTTTCGCTCTTGTTACCCAGGCTGGAGTGCAATGGCACAATCTTGGCTCACCGCAACCTCCGCCTCCTGGGTTCAGGCTTTAATCTGCAGTTGGTTAAAGGAACAAAACTTCGCACAAAAGCTTAGAGTTAACATAAAGAATTTTTTTAATTAAGATAAGGATGCTATGTCAGAGTCAGCCACAAAATGACCTGTTTAGCAAGCTTTATGGCCTACAGGTATGACTTAACCCTTGCCTTGCATAGCCTAAGGTCTAGTTTATAATTGGTATCTTACTACCCAAAGAGTCTATTTGGTCAATATTATGACCTCTATTTTAACATTAATGCTGGTCAATTGTGCCTAAACTCCAAAGGGGAGCCATATCCGACTTCCCTTCCCACTGTGGCCAGGAACCCAGGTTTGCAGGTTTCTCTGGGGTCTCCTTGGCCAAGGAAGGGTTCATTCAGTTGGTTGAGGGAACTTAGGATTTTATTTTTAGTTTACACAGGACCACATCAGATTGTTTTGACAGGGATGACTAATGGTTTTCTTCTCTTTCTGTTTCAGCCACAGCAGCTATCCTTAGCAGGGTATCCCAGAGTCTGCTAAGTGTTAATCCAGACCTGAACACAAGTAAGAATTTCCGTCCTTTTTCTTCTTTCAACGATGTTTTCCATGTTTTAGTGTAATTAAGCTACTACCTTTTCTCTATCTTATTTGAGTTATTAGTAACTGGAATAGTGACTGAATTGAAATTTTATAGGCAAACAAAACATTTTTTAAGGATTTGGTTTTAACTTCTGATACAGTTTGCATGTATGTCCCTTCCAAATCTCATGTATTCCCCAGTGTTGGAGGTAGAGCCTGGGAGGAGATATTTGGGTTATGTGAGCAGATTCCTCAAGAATGGTTTAGTACCGTCCTCTTTGGGCTGTCCTCACCACAGTGAGTGAGTTCTCATGAGATCTGGTTGTTTAAAAGTGTGTGGCACCTCCTCCTTCAATCTCTTGCTCCCACTCTCGCCCTGTGAGACACCTGTTCCCCCTTCACCATGATTGTAGGCTTCCTGAGGCCTTCACCAGAAGCAGATGCTAATACAGCCTGCAGAACTGTGAGCCGCTTAAATCACTTTTCTTTATACCCAGCCTCAGGTATGTTTTATAGCAGTGAAAACAAACTAATACAAGTTCCCTGCAAGGCTGCTTTCTTCTATTTTTGCTTATGCTTGGAGGCTAAGTAAGGCCAAATTAATGAAGGAGGAAAAAAGAGGAAATGATACATCATGGATCAACAATTATTTATTGAATTTAGGAAACTGCCTCTTTTACAAATTCTTTTTAAAATTATTATCATTATTATCCTGAAGTATTTATCTAATGATTACACTGGTAGAAAGTTAAACTCTTCTCTCCAACCAAATTGCCTTAAGCTTCAAAATTATGCCTTCCTGTAAGGTGTCTCTTCCCCTTAAAGTGACTTTACAGTTTCCCCCCTAGTCTTTTGACAATCTTCTGAACCACAAGACCAAGCCCCAAAATCAACTCTGTGAGGAAGCTTCTCCAAATTCTCTAGGTCTGAACAATTTTCTGCCTTCTCTGCTTCCGTTGAACTTTGTCCTTTACTACATGACAGCATTTACCTCCTGGCATTTTAGTGTGTGTGTTAGCCCTGCATATACAACTCACAAGATTTTGTGGGCTTCATGAATGAATTAATTCTATTGAACTTTAAGGCAAAGCCTAAATTTTATGTTTCTTCTAAATCCCTTACATATCCTTTAAAAAATTAAACAAGTAGTAGGTACTTGTTTAATTATATTTTGGAGATGGTTATTTTTCATCAGTGGAAGTATATGCTAGAGTCCATATTATGCAATAAGGGAAGGGAAGACAGTGTACCTAATTCAGTTAAGATATTGCTATTCTTGTTGGTAATTCTGGTGTCGTGAAATCATAATTTGAATTTTATGACTACATTGCAGAATAAATTTCTAATGTGAGATTTAAACATTATTTCCTTGGAGATGACCAAAAAGAAGGGTTGGTACTGTTTTTAACAACGGTCATTCAATTGTCAGTTGTGCCAGACCACAATCCTTTATAGCCCTCCTGTTTAAGAAGCATCTGACATGTTAAGCTGCTCTCTAATTAACACAAGGGTTGTAAAAGAAGTGGCTGTTTGGTTGTGTTTGGATTATCTCAGCCAGTATATTCTAAAGCCTTCCTTCATTCAACAGATGAGTAATCTGTTTTATATTCTGTAAGGAAATGAGAAGGAAACAGTTAAAAATGTGTTACCAATGGTACATGCTTCACATTGAAACCATCCTCCAGACACAAACATAATACTTTGCCCTCCACTGTCCCCTAAAGCGGCAATAGGATTTCTCTGAGTCACTTCCTTTATTAGGTCACAGGGTCTAAAGAAGCGTAAACATTGTGCCTTGTTGAGATAGAACCTCTAGGTATGGAGGATGTGTTGAACAACTTCCTCCCAGTCATTTGGCACATGTTGATTTCCTGTATTCGTGATAAGTAAGATGACTAGCTAATTATCATTCATATGTGGTAAATCACATAGACACTGACTTCCCCTATCCTTCCAGCTGTTTCTTATCAAAAGTCACGTACTCTCTGTCCCAGGAATGATTGGCTAAAGTAACCTGTATCAACAGATGTGTCTGTAACAGTGGACACCTATCATAGCACACATGCTTGAATATATCACAAGCATCACATCCAGATGTCACAGACCCAAGTGCTCATATAACCTCACTCTGTCACTGTGTACATTGTTACCATTTCACAAATATTTCCAAGGTTATTTCCTTTTTTAAAAAAAAAGAAAGAAAGAGAGAAATAAATAAATAAATAAAGAATGAAGGAGAGGAAGAAAGAGGAAGAGGAAGAGGGAGAGAGAACGGAAGTGTTGCTTTATTGCCCAGTCTAGAATGCAGTCTAAAAATGGGTATTGAAAACTTCTTTTATACCAATAATTGTGCTTAATAATGGAGACAGGAAAAAATGAGGGAAGAAAATAACAAACAAGTAGCCAACCAACATTTCATTTAAACCTGTAAGTAGGTGTGACGAGGTACTAATAAAAGTGTATATTTTGTGTATTTAAAGTGGAGAGTTCTATAAATGTTTATTAAGTTTACCTGTTCCGGATCTGAGTTCAAGTCCTGGATATCGTTGTTAATTTTCTGTCTCATTGATCTGTCTAATATTGATGTTGAAGTGTACCACTATTATTGTGTGGGAGTCTAAGTCTCTTTATAAGTCTTATGTATCTGGCTGTTCCTGTATTGGGTGCGTATATATTTAGGATCGTTAGCTCTTCTTGTTGCATTGATCCTTTTACCATTATGTAATGTCCTTCTTTGCCTCTTTTGATCTTTGTTGCTTTAAAGTCTATTTTATCAGAGGTGAGAATTGCAACTCCTGCTTTTTATTTACTTATTTACTTTTGCTCTCCATTTGGTTGGTAAACCTTTCTCCATCCATTTGTTTTGAGTCTTTGTGTATCCTTGCATGTGAGATGGGTCTGGATGCAGCATACCAATGGGTTTTGGCTGTGTCTTTGGATTGGGGAATTTAGCCGATTTAAATTTAGGATTAATAATAATATATGTGAGTTTAATACTGCCATTTGATGTTAGCTGGCTGTTTTGCCCATTAGTTGATATAAATTCTTCATTATGTTGATGCTCTTTACTTTTTGGTATATTTTTGGAAAGGCTGATCCTGGTTGTTCCTTTCTATGTGTAGTGGTTCTTTCAGAAGCTCTTGTAAAGCAGGCCTGGTGGTGATGAAATCTCTGAGTACTTGCTTGTTCACAAAAGATTTTATTTTTCCTTCGCTTATGAAGCTTAGTTTGGCAGGATATGAAATTCTGGGTTGAAAGTTCTTTTCTTTAAGGATGTTGAATATTGGCCCCCACTCTTTTCTGGCTTGTAGGGTTTCTGCTGAGAGATCTGCTGTGGGTCTGATAGGCTTTCCTTTGTGGGTAACCTGACCTTTCTCTCTGGCTGTGCTTAATATTTTCTCCTTCATTTCAACCCTGGTGAATCTGACGATTATGTGCTTTGAGGTTGGTCTTCTTGAGGAATATCTTTGTGGTGTTCCCTGTATTACCTGGAGTTGAATATTGTCCTGCCTTGCTAGGTTGGGAAAGTTTTCCTGAATAATATCCTGAAGAGTATTTTCCAGCTTGGATTCATTCTCTTCATCACATTCAGGTACACCTATCAAACGTAGATTAGGTCTTTTCACATAGTCCCATATTTCTTGGAGACTTTGCTCATTCCTTTTTATCCTTTTTTCTCTAATCTTGTCTTCTTGTTTTATTTCATTAAATTGGTCTTCGACCTCTGATGTCCTTTCTTCTGCTTGATCAATTCGGCTGTTAAAACTTTTGCGTACTTCGCGAAGTTCTCGTGTTGTGTTTTTCAGCTCCATTAATTCTTTTTTTTTTTTTTAATTTAAATTGAATTTAATTAAATACAAATGTCACATATTTCTACCTTCCCGGAAATGGTCACTTCATCTTAATTAAGGAAATGGAAACTAATGATGACTTAAGTATTATTCTGTGGAATGTGTTTAGACAAGTTCAGGCAAACAGCGAAAACTGAGAAGTCCCCATCATCGTACCTACAATGTTCTGAAAATGCTTGAAATTAACTCCATTCTTTGTCTAGCGGTTCAATATGAACTGCCAAAATTTAGTCCAATTAGTTAGTTCCAAATAATGTAGGCTGTTCGGAATCTAGAACCATGGAGTGCTGACAGTTCTCCTTTGACAGTGGACCAGGACATGCAGGATCTCCTCTTTCAAACTCCTTCAGTTGGCTTGGGAAACTCTGGTTTCAGATCCATGGAAGTTCAACATGGTAGTCACCAACACTGGAAGGTCAAAATCGTGTTTCCACCCCCAGTTCTTCCGAGCATTGCTGTCATCGAAGTTCATCGGCCAACTATCCGCTATGGCCTGCCAGATGGCATCCACGTTGTATATGATCTGGAACTCCGGCACGTGCTTGAGGACCTCCTGTGCCAACTCCTCGGGTATGAAGCTCATGGCACTGACATTGTAGGTCCTCATGGAGAGGGACTCAGCAGGGGCCTCCATGACCTCCAGGGTGGCCCTGAGACAGTCATCAATATACATCATCGGCAGCCTCGTGTGGGCTTCCAGGTTGCACTCAAATTTGCCATGCTTTGTGGCATCATGAAAAATCTGGACTGCATAGTCAGTTGTTTCTCCTCCAGGCTGGGAGTCAGCTGAAATTATTCCAGGATATCACAGGCATCGGAAATCTAACCTATACGGGTAATGATAATAGTCTCCCATGAGCTCCGCATGGACTTTGGACACCCCGTAGATGGTCCTGGGTCTCTGAATACAGAGATCGGGGGTTGGGTTCCGGGGAGAGGTGGGTCCAAAAGCTCCGATCATGCTAGGTGCAAACAATCGCAGATTGTGTTCCACAGCGACGTCCAGGATGTTATGCATTTCACAAATATTTAACAGTCTGCTGTGTACTCAACCTTTAGCTATGCACCCTGAGGGAGACAGAGTAAAATACTGCTCTGACATCCAGCAGCTCACATTCTCCCTAAAAAGATAAT